ACAAGATGTCATGTGCTGCCAATACAATGTCAGTCCAGCTCAGACAAGATGTCACGTGCTGCCAATACAATGTCCATCCAGCTCAGACAAGATGTCATGTGCTGCCAATACAATGTCAGTCCAGCTCAGACAAGATGTTACATGCTGCCAATACAATGTTAGTCCAGCTCAGACAAGATGTCATGTGCTGCAAATACAATGTCAGTCCAGCTCAGACAAGATGTCATGTGCTGCCAATACAATGTCAGTCCAGCTCAGACAAGATGTCATGTGCTGCCAATACAATGTCAATCCAGCTCAGACAAGATGTCATGTGCTGCTAATACAATGTCAATCCACCTCAGACAAGATTTCATGTGCTGCCAATACAATGTCAATCCAGCTCAGACAAGATGTCATGTGCTGCTAATACAATGTCAATCCAGCTCAGACAAGATGTCATGTGCTGCCCATACAATGTCAATCCAGCTCCGACAAGATGTCATGTGCTGCCAATACAATGTCAATCCAGCTCCGACAAGATGTCATGTGCTGCTAATACAATGTCAATCCAGCTCAGACAAGATGTCATGTGCTGCCCATACAATGTCAATCCTCAGACAAGGTGCCTCGTTCTGCCAATACAACGTTATTCCAGCTGAGACAAAACATTATACAATACAACATCAGAGTTGATACAGCTTGAGGGATTGTATACAACGATATATGGACGAGTATATGTGTACTATGACAATGTATAAAATATGTACTAGGGGCTTGTGTACAATATGTGTACTGTGGGCTTGTGTACAATATGTGTACTGTGGGCTTGTGTACAATATGTGTACTGTGGGCTTGTGTACAATATGTGTACTGTGGGCTTGTGTAGGAGAACAATATGTGTACTGTGGGCTTGTGTACAATATGTGTACTGTGAGCTTGTGTACAATATGTGTACTAGGGGCTTGTGTACAATATGTGTACTGAGGGCTTGTGTACAATATGTGTACTGTGATCTTGTGTACAATATGTGTACTGTGGGCTTGTGTACAATATGTGTACTAGGGGCTTGTGTACAACATGTGTACTGTGAGCTTGTGTACAATATGTGTACTGTGAGCTTGCGTACAATATGTGTACTGTGAGCTTGTGTACAACATGTGTACTGTGGGCTTGTGTACAATATGTGTACTGTGGGCTTGTGTACAATATGTGTACTGTGAGATTGTGTACAATATGTGTACTGTGGGCTTGTGTGCAATATGTGTACTGTGGGCTTGTGTGCAATATGTGTACTGTGGGCTTGTGTACAATATGTGTACTGTGAGCTTGTGTACAATATGTGTACTGTGGGCTTGTGTACAATATGTGTACTGTGATCTTGTGTACAATATGTGTACTGTGGGCTTGTGTACAATATGTGTACTAGGGGCTTGTGTACAACATATGTGTACTGTGAGCTTGTGTACAATATGTGTACTGTGAGCTTGTGTACAATATGTGTACTAGGGGCTTGTGTACAATATGTGTACTGTGAGCTTGTGTACAACATGTGTACTGTGGGCTTGTGTACAATATGTGTACTAGGGGCTTGTGTACAATATGTGTACTGTGAGCTTGTGTACAACATGTGTACTGTGGGCTTGTGTACAATATGTGTACTGTGGGCTTGTGTACAATATGTGTACTGTGAGATTGTGTACAATATGTGTACTGTGGGCTTGTGTGCAATATGTGTACTGTGGGCTTGTGTGCAATATGTGTACTGTGGGCTTGTGTACAATATGTGTACTGTGGACTTGTGTACAATATGTGTACTGTGAGCTTGTGTACAATATGTGTACTGCTGGCTTGTGTGCAATATGTACAGTACTCCTTACATGCACAGCACTTCAATGTGAGATAAATAGATATAGTGACATAGTGACATTTGACAGGATACACTGAAACTTGTAGGAGACAAAGGGAATGATAGCCAGAGGAAATGGTTCAAACATTCTCTCCAACTTTGGTACAAACATACAAATATAACTGACATGAGGTTAAGGACACTGGTATTGATCTCCCCGCTGTTTGTTGTATTGTGGCCACTAAGTGCAGTTTGTATTGTTCCAAAACAGGAAAGACCCTGGTCATGTTAACACAATGTACAGAAATCACTTAAGTCATTTGAAAATGAGTAGGAAATATAAGAGCTAGCCATAATATATTCAAGAAAGGCATCTGTAATTATCCCTGAGAGATTATATGACCCTTCCATATTACTAATTCAGGTTTGTTTGTTGACGGCTGTAAAGAGAAATACTTGCCACTGTGAAGCTACAAGTCATCATCCATACTGCATCCCCTCGATTAACACCATACTGCATCCCCTCGATTAACACCATACTGCATCCCCTCGATTAACACCATACTGCATCCCCTCGATTAACACCATACTGCATCCCCTCGATTAACACCATACTGCATCCCCTCGATTAACACCATACTGCATCCCTTCGATTAACACCATACTGCATCCCTTGATTAATACCATACTGCATCCCATGATTAACAAACTGCATCCCTTAATTAACACCATACTGCATCCCTTGATTAACAAACTGCATCCCTTGATAAACACCATACTGTGAGAAGTAACATATCTTCATATGCAGCCTGGTTTCAATGCTCAATTACATTTCATAAAAGGAAATAATTACTTTGGTATTGAAAATAGTTTTAAGAATAAATCAGATCCTATTGGTTTGTTCCAGCTGAAAATACAAAATACACTGGATACGTTCAAGCAATAAATATCTAACAAACATGTCAATGTTTCAGCAATGGATATATTGACACAATATATGAAAGGACTTCAATATAAATATAAAGAAATGCTGAGTACAATACCAACTTGCTGAACATCAACCTCAGGAGGTGCAGCGAATGATCTGATACTCTGAATACATGGTGATTACAATTACTAGACTGATGAAACTGCAGCTGTACACACTGGTCATCTCGCAAGGTAGCGTGTGACACGGTGCAATATTTAAAACAATGCTACCTACAAACTGGTACTGAATACTGTATACAGATGTGTGAATCTAGAAATTGAAAACATATTACTAGAAAAGTGTTAGCAATAACATCAGACAAGAGCCCGAGTGTGGGGAGTTAAGATGGACTACATTATGATAGACACAAGAACTACACTGTACCAGTCAAAAGCAAGAATTTAACATCAGGTTTATTGTGCCATTCAGCAACCAACTGTCCCTGTTAGTGTCACCTTCACGCATGATGGCTGATACAGTCTGACTGTGTCACCTTGAAACAATGGCTGCTACAGGCTGACTGTGTCACCTTGACGCATGATGGCTGATACAGTCTGACTGTATCACCTTGAAACAATGGCTGATACAGTCTGACTGTGTCACCTTGAAACAATGGCTGATACAGGCTGACTGTGTCACCTTGAAACAATGGCTGATACAGTCTGACTGTATCACCTTGAAACAATGGCTGCCACAGTCTGACTGTATCACCTTGAAACAATGGCTGATACAGGCTGACTGTATCACCTTGAAACAATGGCTGATACAGGCTGACTGTGCCACCTTGAAACAATGGCTGATACAGTCTGACTGTATCACCTTGACACATGATGGCTGATACAGTCTGACTGTATCACCTTGAAACAATGGCTGCCACAGTCTGACTGTATCACCTTGAAACAATGGCTGATACAGGCTGACTGTGCCACCTTGAAACAATGGCTGATACAGTCTGACTGTATCACCTTGAAACAATGGCTGATACAGGCTGACTGTGCCACCTTGAAACAATGGCTGATACAGTCTGACTGTATCACCTTGAAACAATGGCTGATACAGGCTGACTGTGCCACCTTGAAACAATGGCTGATACAGGCTGACTGTATGACCTTGAAACAATGGCTGATACAGTCTGACTGTATCACCTTGAAACAATGGCTGCCACAGTCTGACTGTATCACCTTGAAACAATGGCTGCCACAGTCTGACTGTATCACCTTGAAACAATGGCTGATACAGTCTGACTGTGCCACCTTGAAACAATGGCTGATACAGGCTGACTGTGCCACCTTGAAACAATGGCTGCCACAGTCTGACTGTATCACCTTGAAATAATGGCTGATACAGTCTGACTGTGCCACCTTGAAACAATGGCTGATACAGGCTGACTGTGCCACCTTGAAACAATGGCTGATACAGGGTGACTGTATGACCTTGAAACAATGGCTGATACAGTCTGACTGTATCACCTTGAAACAATGGCTGCCACAGTCTGACTGTATCACCTTGAAACAATGGCTGCCACAGTCTGACTGTATCACCTTGAAACAATGGCTGATACAGTCTGACTGTGCCACCTTGAAACGATGGCTGATACAGGCTGACTGTGCCACCTTGAAACAATGGCTGCCACAGTCTGACTGTATCACCTTGAAATAATGGCTGATACAGTCTGACTGTGTCACCTTGAAACAATGCCTGATACAGGCTGACTGTGCCACCTTGAAACAATGGCTGATACAGGCTGACTGTGCCACCTTGAAACAATGCCTGATACAGGCTGACTGTGCCACCTTGAAACAATGGCTGCCACAGTCTGACTGTGTCACCTTGACACATGATGGCTGATACAGTCTGACCGTGTCATCTTGACACATGATGGCTGCTACAGTCTGACTGTGTCACCTTGAAACAATGGCTGCTACAGTCTGACTGTATCACCTTGAAACAATGGCGGCTACAGTCTGACTGTGTCACCTTGAAACAATGGCTGCCACAGTCTGACTGTGTCACATTGAAACAATGCTACAGTCTGACTGTGTCACCTTGAAACAATGGCTGCTACAGGCTGACTGTGCCACTTTGAAACGATTGCTGCTACAGGCTGACTGCCACCTTGAAACAATGGCTGCTACAGGCTGACTGTGCCACCTTGAAACAATAGCTGCTACAGGCTGACTTATAGGTATAGTAACAGAGCTTCCTGTCTATACAGGTAATAGAGCGGCTTATAGGTATAGTAACAGAGCTTCCTGTCTTTACAGGTAATAGAGCGGCTTATACGTATAGTAACCGAGCTTATACAGGTAATAGATATAGGTAACAGAGCTTCCTGTCTATACAGGTAATAGAGCAGCTTATAGGTATAGTAACAGAGCTTCCTGTCTATACAGGTAATAGAGTGGCTTATAGGTAGTAACAGAGCGGCTTATAGGCGGCTATAGTAACAGAGCTTCCGGTAATAGAGCGGCTTATACAGGAGCTAATAGAGGTGGCTTATAGGTATAGTAACAGAGCTTCCTGAGCTTATAGGTATAGTAACAGTCCTGTCTATACAGGTAATAGAGCTTAGTAACAGAGCTCCCTGTCTTATAGGTATAGTAACAGAGCTTCCTGTCTATACAGGTAATAGAATAGGAGTGGCTTAGGTATAGTAACAGGCTTATAGGTATAGTAACAGAGCTTCCTGTCTATACAGGTAATAGTAACAGAGCTTCCTGTCTATACAGGTAATAGAGTTTATAGGTATAGTAACAGAGCTTCCTGTCTATACAGGTAATAGAGGTAATACTTATAGGTATAGTAACAGAGCTTACAGGTAATAGAGTGGCTTATAGGTATAGTAACAGGCTTCCTGTCTATAGTAACAGAGCTTCCTGTCTATACAGGTAATAGAGCCGCTTATAGGTATAGTAACAGAGCTTCCTGTCTACAGGTACAGGTAATAGAGTGGCTTAGGTATAGTAACAGAGCTTCCTGTCTATACAGGTAATAGAGCATAGGTATAGTAACTTCCCTGTCTATACAGGTAATAGAGTAGGTATAGTAACAGAGCTTCCTGTCTATACAGGTAATAGAGCTGCTTATAGGTATAGTAACAGAGCTTCCTGTCTATACAGGTAATAGAGCTGCTTATAGGCTTATAGGTATAGTAACAGAGCTTCCTGTCTATACAGGTAATAGAGCGGCTTATAGGTATAGTAACAGAGCTTCCTGTCTATACAGGTAATAGAGTGGCTTATAGGTATAGTAACAGAGCTTCCTGTCTATACAGGTAATAGAGTGGCTTATAGGTATAGTAACAGAGCTTCCTGTCTATACAGGTAATAGAGCGGCTTATAGGTATAGTAACAGAGCTTCCTGTCTATACAGGTAATAGAGTAGCTTATAGGTATAGTAACAGAGTTTCCGGTAGGTAGATGTAACAAAACATCTTGCAGGTAACATAGACTCTTTTGTGAATGGGTGACATAGTGTCTTGATTGACAAAAACTATACAGGGGTATTACATTGTGAGTGAAGTAGTCAGATGGTGCAGCTGAGTTGTGCACTCCTCCATAACTTTGTTATGTGTATCCCGATTTATTCCAAACATAACAGACGTATTAATTTTACCTTTGTTCATCACACGAGACCTGGATACAAAGCACCCTTCAGGTGTTGCTCCTGTTAGTTTACTGGGCTGATACCTCAGCTAAGTGATCTGTCTCCCCATTATAATCTCCACAGTCATGTCTCAATGGCAACTCTTGTCTGGAAACACACTCATAGGAAATATTATCTATACAGAAGACCAGTCTTCAACAGGAGCACAGACACATCATAGATCACTGACTCCGGCATGCAGCTCCAGAGGGGCCTTCACCTTCAGGCTGCCTGTTCCTCCACCTTGCTCCGTTTCTTCACGAATTCCTGTGCCTCCTTGTCCCAAGTCCGACGTGCCAGGATCTGCAAGGCACCGTAAGCTGTGGAGGGGAAAGGGAAAATATTGTGACCACCACAGTATATATATTTAGCCAGTGTATAACATATCAATATTATCAAGTGTGACAGAGTGCTGCCTATAGTAACATGAGCAGTTGATCGTCAGACTGGTCAGACTAAAGCATTCACTCATCATGCCAAAGACCCGGGTTTACATTCCCCACATGGGTAGATGTGTGAAGCCTATCTCCTCTCTTACAAAACAAATGATTAAAAATATACCCTCTCTTCCAAAACAATTCAGCACAAACATATTCAGGAGCATACCTCTGAGCTTTGGTTATATGAGAGGGAGGAGCACCTACGGGAGAATATCTTTGTGTTTTGGCTGTGTGAGCGGGAGGAGCATACGTTTGTGTTTTGGCTGTGTGAGAGGGAGGAGCATACCTTTGTGTTTGGCTGTGTGAGGGGGAGGAGCATACCTTTGTGTTTGGCTGTGTGAGAGGGGAGGAGCATACCTTTGTGTTTGGCTGTGTGAGGGGGAGGAGCATACCTTTGTGTTTGGCTGTGTGAGAGGGAGGAGCATACCTTTGTGTTTGGCTGTGTGAGGGAGGAGCATACCTTTGTGTTTGGCTGTGTGTGAGGAGGGAGGAGCATACCTTTGTGTTTGGTGGTGTGTGAGGGAGGAGCATACCTTTGTGTTTTTGGTTGTATGTGAGTGGGAGGAGCATACCTTTGTGTTTGGCTGTGTGAGTGGGAGGAGCATACCTTTGTGTTTTGGCTGTGTGAGTGGGAGGAGCATACCTTGTGGCTGTGGCTGTGGGAGTGTGGAGGAGGAGCATACCTTTGTGTTTTGGCTGTGTGAGAGGGAGGAGCATACCTTTGTGTTTTGGCTGTGTGAGTGGGAGGAGCATACCTTTGTGTTTTGGCTGTGTGAGTGGGAGGAGCATACCTTTGTGTTTTGGCTGTGTGAGAGGGAGGAGCATACCTTTGTGTTTGGCTGTGTGAGAGGGAGGAGCATACCTTTGTGTTTTGGCTGTGTGAGAGGGGAGCAGGAGCATACCTTTGTGTTTTGGCTGTGTGAGAGGGAGGAGCATACCTTTGTGTTTGGCTGTGTGAGAGGGAGGAGCATACCTTTGTGTTTGGCTGTGTGAGAGGGAGGAGCATACCTTTGTGTTTTGGCTGTGTGAGAGGGAGGAGCATACCTTTGTGTTTGGCTGTGTGAGAGGGAGGAGCATACCTTTGTGTTTGGCTGTGTGAGAGGGAGGAGCATACCTTTGTGTTTTGGCTGTGTGAGAGGGAGGAGCATACCTTTGTGTGGCTGTTGAGCTGTTTGGCTGTGTGAGTGGGAGGAGCATACCTTTGTGTTTTGGCTGTATGAGAGGGAGGAGCATACCTTTGTGTTTTGGCTGTGTGAGCGGGAGGAGCATACCTTTGTGTTTTGGCTGTATGAGAGGGAGGAGCATACCTTTGTGTTTTGGCTGTATGAGAGGGAGGGAGATGATGCTGAGAGCATCATATCCTGTGACCTCTTCACCACTGACCCCAGGGACGTCCTCCATTGCGAGGTACACCTCACCGGCAAAGTCGTTCTGGAACACCAGGTCATGGTCCATAATGGTGAACAGCAGAGTGGCCCCCTTGTGCTGGCACTCTCCAGGACTGATGGCACTGCAGCAGGAGAGAATTCATGTTGTCTATGTGCGGTTTAAATCATTTGCAGTTCTCCAATAATGGATGCTAGGACTTTTAGTAATTACTGGTTATTTGTTAAAATAGATGCTTCTAATATACGGTAAACATTTTGTTGTCACAAGTTATGCAGTCTACAGTCTCCTTCTGTGCACGATTTGGGGATGAGATAAAGCGGTTTGATTTTGCACAGGCAGACTTACAACTCAAATGACTCTTCAAACAGTGGATGTAGTGTTTTCTTGATGACCTGTGTGCTCTGTACAGTGATGTTGGGGAACACATGGTCCGGACACAGCTGAACAAGCACAAATGGGTCACTGAGACCTGCAACAGGAGAATACCACACACCATATAAGTCATCATCCCAGAAATACACCACTTAATACAGTACTATAAAACAACCTCAACACACTAGTGCACTAAATACAGTACTATAAAACAACCTCAACACACTAGAGCACTAAACACAGTACTATAAAACAACCTCAACACACTACAGCACTAAATACAGTACTATAAAATCACCTCAATACATGAGAGCACTAAATACAGTACTATAAAACAACCTCAATACACTAGAGCACTAAATACAGTACCATAAAACAACCTCAACACACTACAGCACTAAATACAGTACTATAAAACAACCTCAATACATGAGAGCACTAAATACAGTACTATAAAACAACCTCAATACACTAGAGCACTGAATACAGTACTATAAAACAACCTCAACACACTAGAGCACTAAATACAGTACTATAACACAACCTCAACACACTAGAGGACTAAATACAGTACTATAAAACAACCTCAACACACTAGAGCACTAAATACAGTTCTATAAAACAACCTTAACACATGAGAGCACTAAATACAGTACTATAAAACCACCTCAACACACTAGAGCACTACATACAGTACTATAAAACAACCTGAATACACTACAGCACTAAATACAGTACTATAAAACAACCTGAATACACTACAGCACTAAATACAGCACTATAAAAGAACCTGAATACACTTCAGCACTAAATACAGCACTATAACACAACCTGAATACACTACAGCACTAAATACAGTACTATAAAACAACCTGAATATACTACAGCACTAAATACAGTACTATAAAACAACCTGAATACACTACAGCACTAAATACAGTACTATAAAACAACCTGAATCACAGTACTATAAAACAACCTGAATACACTACAGCACTAAATACAGTACTATAAAACAACCTGAATACACTACAGCACTAAATACAGTACTAAAAAAGAAACTGGGCAAACTCTGGGTGCACATTTGACTTTTTAGCAGGTGATGTATAACAGACAAAATATATTGAACATTTTGCTTCATGTGGTTAAGATAAAATAGAAGACTCAAAGTAGGCAAGAGACAAACCCAGTGGTGTTAACTATAGTTAATATATGCTCACTCACCATTCGCATCCAATGGGATGAGGTCCTTTGCACTCAGAACTGTAAAATTAAAACATCAAATTTTCTTAGTAACACACTAAACAAACAGACCAATGTCAGACATGCCTTGACATGCTCTAAAAACAGTCCTAAGGACCACTTGGAATAACGATGGTCATACATTAAACTGGAGGAGTATTCAGTTGTTTTGTACAGTATCCCTTGGATTATTCAGAATGTCTCTTCCTAAGAAGCTGTTCAGAGGGTATCCTCCCAAAACGCAGACCTGTTAAAACAACACTTTTTTATAGTTGGTTGCACACGTGATTAGTAGGCTGTACCCTTGATTAAGAAAATTGGTATCACCCATGTAACGAGTTTTGATAATGTAAAGTGATCCTTTATTTCATCAATATTTATTTAATCAATAAAAAACATATTCATCTAGGCGATCTGATAAAAATAATGTTTTACCAGAAACATGGCATATTTTTAAGATTTATTAAATCCTGTATCACGTGATGACTGTGACCTGGAGTGGGATGCTTATATTGGAAACTATATTACTGAACATAGTTATGAACAAATACTGATTGTGTAAATGATGAACTGTCTTATGATATAACAAATGCAGAAATTATATCTGTGATCCATGAAATGGTATCCATAGACAAATATTTAGTGTTCTTCAACATTTATATGACAACGTGAGTCTGCTGTAGTTGTCGGCGAAGGGAGAAAACTATCTGATTTTTATTGTTCCACTGGTGTTAGACAAGGACGTCCACTTAGTCCCTTGTTGTTCTCCATATTTATCAAAGTGTGGACCAGTCCATTCATTAATTAGGGGTGACCAGCATGGCCCAATTAATTAGTGTGCTATTTTTATCTGCACTTTGGGAGGTCTGTGTTTTGGGTGGTCTGCGTTATGGGAGTAAACCGTTCAGAGCCAGTGTCTAACTTGAAGTAACATTAGAAACAAGGAGAAGATCAAAAATATTTGCTTGACCACAAATCCAAATATTGAAGGAGTCATATTCTGCTTACCAACATAGTTACTTGGCAGTGACTTAACTGATAAAGTGGAGTAATTGCATGTGAAACAAGGACAGTGTTCTTACAATCTCTGCTGTGGAATTTTGAGCCACTGTTCATTGAATAGGTTCCCAGTTGTGCACATGCAAAGATTGAAATATAATGGCTTGAGTATATTTTAAGCCTCGCATTGAACACAGCCTAGACGGTGAAATGGATATTGTAACACTATGTCCATTGAAGGATGACTCTCATAGTGAACACAGCCTAGACGGTGAAATGGATACTGTAACACTATGTCCACTGAAGGATGACTTCTCAGAGTGAACACAGCCTAGACGGTGGAATGGATACTGTAACACTATGTCCACTGAAGGATGACTTCTCAGAGTGAACACAGCCTAGACGGTGAAATGGATACTGTAACACTATGTCCACTGAAGGATGACTTCTCAGAGTGAACACAGCCTAGACGGTGAAATGGATATTGTAACACTATGTCCACTGAAGGATAACTCTTAGAGTGAACACAGCCTAGATGGTGAAATGGATATTGTAACACTATGTCCACTGAAGGATGACTTCTCAGAGTGAACACAGCCTAGATGGTGAAATGGATACTTTAACACTATGTCCACTGAAGGATGACTCTCAAAGTGAACACAGCCTAGATGGTGAAATGGATACTGTAACACTATGTCCACTGAAGGATGACTCTCAGAGTGAACACAGCCTAGATGGTGAAATGGATACTGTAACACTATGTCCACTGAAGGATGACTCTCAGAGTGAACACAGGCTAGACGGTGAAATGGATACTGTAACACTATGTCCACTGAAGGATAACTCTTAGAGTGAACACAGCCTAGATGGTGAAATGGATATTGTAACACTATGTCCACTGAAGGATGACTTCTCAGAGTGAACACAGCCTAGACGGTGAAATGGATACTGGAACACTATGTCCACTGAAGGATGACTTCATAGAGGGAGCACAGCCTAGACGGTGAAATGGATACTGTAACACTATGTCCACTGAAGGATGACTTCTCAGAGTGAACACAGCCTAGACGGTGAAATGGATATTGTAACACTATGTCCACTGAAGGATAACTCTTAGAGTGAACACAGCCTAGATGGTGAAATGGATATTGTAACACTATGTCCACTGAAGGATGACTCTCAAAGTGAACACAGCCTAGATGGTGAAATGGATACTGTAACACTATGTCCACTGAAGGATAACTCTTAGAGTGAACACAGCCTAGATGGTGAAATGGATATTGTAACACTATGTCCACTGAAGGATGACTTCTCAGAGTGAACACAGCCTAGATGGTGAAATGGATACTTTAACACTATGTCCACTGAAGGATGACTCTCAAAGTGAACACAGCCTAGATGGTGAAATGGATACTGTAACACTATGTCCACTGAAGGATGATTCTCAGAGTGAACACAGCCTAGATGGTGAAATGGATACTGTAACACTATGTCCACTGAAGGATGACTCTCAGAGTGAACACAGGCTAGACGGTGAAATGGATACTGTAACACTATGTCCACTGAAGGATAACTCTTAGAGTGAACACAGCCTAGATGGTGAAATGGATATTGTAACACTATGTCCACTGAAGGATGACTTCTCAGAGTGAACACAGCCTAGACGGTGAAATGGATACTGGAACACTATGTCCACTGAAGGATGACTTCATAGAGGGAGCACAGCCTAGACGGTGAAATGGATACTGTAACACTATGTCCACTGAAGGATGACTTCTCAGAGTGAACACAGCCTAGACGGTGAAATGGATATTGTAACACTATGTCCACTGAAGGATAACTCTTAGAGTGAACACAGCCTAGATGGTGAAATGGATACTTTAACACTATGTCCACTGAAGGATGACTCTCAAAGTGAACACAGCCTAGATGGTGAAATGGATACTGTAACACTATGTCCACTGAAGGATGACTCTCAGAGTGAACACAGCCTAGATGGTGAAATGGATACTGTAACACTATGTCCACTGAAGGATGACTCTCAGAGTGAACACAGGCTAGACGGTGAAATGGATACTGTAACACTATGTCCACTGAAGGATAACTCTTAGAGTGAACACAGCCTAGATGGTGAAATGGATATTGTAACACTATGTCCACTGAAGGATGACTTCTCAGAGTGAACACAGCCTAGACGGTGAAATGGATACTGGAACACTATGTCCACTGAAGGATGACTTCATAGAGGGAGCACAGCCTAGACGGTGAAATGGATACTGTAACACTATGTCCATTGAAGGATGACTTCTCAGAGTGAACACAGCCTAGACGGGGAAATGGATACTGTAACACTATGTCCACTGAAGGATGACTTCTCAGAGTGAACACAGCCTAGACGGTGAAATGGATACTGTAACACTATGTCCACTGAAGGATGACTCTCAAAGTGAACACAGCCTAGATGGTGAAATGGATACTGGAACACTATGTCCATTGAAGGATGACTTCTCAGAGTGAACACAGCCTAGACGGTGAAATGGATACTGTAACACTATGTCCACTGAAGGATGACTCTCAGAGTGAACACAGGCTAGACGGTGAAATGGATACTGTAACACTATGTCCACTGAAGGATAACTCTTAGAGTGAACACAGCCTAGATGGTGAAATGGATATTGTAACACTATGTCCACTGAAGGATGACTTCTCAGAGTGAACACAGCCTAGATGGTGAAATGGATACTTTAACACTATGTCCACTGAAGGATGACTCTCAAAGTGAACACAGCCTAGATGGTGAAATGGATACTGTAACACTATGTCCACTGAAGGATGACTCTCAGAGTGAACACAGCCTAGATGGTGAAATGGATACTGTAACACTATGTCCACTGAAGGATGACTCTCAGAGTGAACACAGGCTAGACGGTGAAATGGATACTGTAACACTATGTCCACTGAAGGATAACTCTTAGAGTGAACACAGCCTAGATGGTGAAATGGATATTGTAACACTATGTCCACTGAAGGATGACTTCTCAGAGTGAACACAGCCTAGACGGGTGAAATGGATACTGGAACACTATGTCCACTGAAGGATGACTTCATAGAGGGAGCACAGCCTAGACGGTGAAATGGATACTGTAACACTATGTCCATTGAAGGATGACTTCTCAGAGGAACACAGCCTAGACGGGAAATGGATACTGTAACACTATGTCCACTGAAGGATGACTTCTCAGAGTGAACACAGCCTAGACGGTGAAATGGATACTGTAACACTATGTCCACTGAAGGATGACTCTCAAAGTGAACACAGCCTAGATGGTGAAATGGATACTGGAACACTATGTCCATTGAAGGATGACTTCTCAGAGTGAACACAGCCTAGACGGTGAAATGGATACTGTAACACTATGTCCACTGAAGGATGACTCTCAAAGTGAACACAGCCTAGACGGTGTAATGCAGTTAATGCAATGGCTGCAGTCAACAGGGAATGTGGTCAACACAAAGGTTGTAGTCAAGACAGAATGTGGGTTTGCTGTCAAGGCACAGGTTGTGGTCCACATAGACTAATTAGTGAACACACAGGTTGTGGTCCACAGAGAGTAATTGGTGAACACAGAGGTTGTAGCCAGCAGAGAGTAATTGGTGAACACACAGGTTGTAGCCAGCTGACGGTAATTGGTGAACGCAGAGGTTGTAGTCAGCAGAGAGTAATTAGTGAACACAAAGGTTGTAGCCAGCTGGAGAGGTTGTAGTCAGCAGAGAGTAATTAGTGAACACAAAGGTTGCAGCCAGCAGAGAGTAATTGGTGAACACACAGGTTGTAGCCAGCTGACGGTAATTGGTGAACGCAGAGGTTGTGGTCCACAGAGAGTAATTGGTGAACACAGAGGTTGTGGTCCACAGAGAGTAATTGGTGAACACACAGGTTGTAGCCAGCTGACGGTAATTGGTGAACACACAGGTTGTGGTCCACAGAGAGTAATTGGTGAACACACAGGTTGTGGTCCACAGAGAGTAATTGGTGAACACACAGGTTGTGGTCCACAGAGAGTAATTGGTGAACACAGAGATTGTAGTCAGCAGATAGGAATTGGTGAACACACAGGTTGTAGTCAGGAGAGAGTAATTGGTGAACACAGAGGTTGTAGTCAGCAAAGAGATCCAGGCTAGAATAGGTCTTCAGAAAGCCATGCTTACCACAAAAGGCAACTATGTTTGTCGTAAGAGGCGACTAACGGGATCGGGTGGTCTTGTTTGACACATGTCATCGGTTTCCAATTGCGCAGATCGATGCTCATGCTGTTGATCACTAGATCGTGTCTGGCCAGAGGTGGTCTAGGTTGTTGTCAACACAGGAGGTGGTCTGTGTTTTGGTCTGTGTTTTGGTCAACACAGGAGGTGGTCTGTGTTTTGGTCAACACAGGAGGTGGTCTGTGTTGTGGTCAACACAGGAGGTGGTCTGTGTTTTGGTCTGTGTTTTGGTCAACACAGGAGGTGGTCTGTGTTTTGGTCTGTGTTTTGGTCAACACAGGAGGTGGTCTGTGTTTTGGTCTACACAGGAGGTGGTCTGTGTTTTGGTCTGTGTTTTGCTCAACACAGGAGGTGGTCTGGGTTGTGGTCAACACAGGAGTGGTCTGTGTTGTGGTCAACACAGTATATGCTATAGTCAGGGAGGAGGTCAAGATAGAAAGTCTCTGAAACAGAATGTAGTCGGTGCACAAGATGATCATTTGCCAACATCACATACCTTCGACATACAGTGTGTGGGAGTCATATCTGTACACAGCACGGAAGTTGAGGATACCAAACTCTGTACTCTCTTGCTGCTTCTGGAAATATATTCCACAATGTTCACAGTCTGCCAGTTCACAAAAGGTTAAATTCAGAGATGACTGAAGAGATGTGCTTTTAATAGTTTTGTACATTTTTTGTAGATTGGACAATTCAGATAAAGAACACATAATTAAGTACACTTACATGACACTCTTTTATCTCAGCAAGAAACCAAATTGCTGATAGTGGCAACTCACCTGGATCTCTGCCATCTGCATGTAGAATGTCTCAATCAGAGACATGGTGTCCATCTTGTGAAAAGTCAACAGGTCTCGCAACTCCTAGAAACATAATGTATAACATATGTCATCTACTGCCAAAAGACGGACAGTCAATCGGTTCACCTAGATCTGTGGACAGTTGATAAACTGACCTTGATCTGTGGACAGTAAATAAACTGACCTGGATTTGTTGACAAGTGATGAACTGTCCCAGATCTGTGGACAGTAAATGAACTGACCTAGATCTGTGGACAATTGATGAACTGTCCTGGATCTGTGGACAGTGAATGAACTGACCTAGATCTGTTGACAAGTGATGAACTGTCCCAGATCTGTGGACAGTAAATGAACTGACCTAGATCTGTGGACAATTGATGAACTGTCCTAGATCTGTGGACAGTTGATAAACTGACCTGGATTTGTTGACAAGTGATGAACTGTCCCAGATCTGTGGACAGTAAATGAACTGACCTAGGTCTGTGGACAATTGATGAACTCACCTGAAACTGTGCTGAGAGGATGTCCTCCATGTTTAACCCTTTCCCTTTAGCATGGAAGAAGTCAACCAGAAGACCAAGGGCATCAAACATGCGTTGGTAGAAGATGGGTGGCCTCTGGAAGAGAAACACTTTCCTGTCTATGGCATCTAAAAGTTGTAAGCAATAGGAATGACAAGTCTTGTACACATGTACAAGTCACATGTACATAAACCACCTCACATGTACATACACCACCTCAAATGTACATACACCACCTGACATGTACATACACCACCTCATATGTACATACATCACCTCACATGTACATACACCACCTGACATGTACATACACCACCTGACATGTACATACACCACCTCATATGTACATACACCACCTCACATGTACATACACCACCTGACATGTACATACACCACCTGACATGTACATACACCACCTCACATGCACATACATCACCTCAAATGCACATACACCACCTCACATGTACACACACCACCTCACATGTAGATACACCATCTCACAGGTACATACACCACCTGACATGTACATACACCACCTCATATGTACATACATCACCTCACATGTACATACACCATCTCACAGGTACATACACCACCTGACATGTACACACACCACCTCACATGTACATACACCACCTCACATGTAGATACACCATCTCACAGGTACATACACCACCTGACATGTACATACACCACCTCATATGTACATACACCACCTCACATGTACATACACCATCTCACAGGTACATACACCACCTGACATGACCATACACCACCTCACATGTAGATACACCAAATCACATGTACATACACTACCTCACATGTACATACACCACCTCAAATGTACACACACCACCTCACATGTACATACACCATCTCACAGGTACATAAACCACCTGACATGTACACACACCACCTCACATGTACATACACCACCTCACATGTAGATACACCATCTCACAGGTACATACACCAATCTGACATGTACATACACCACCCTCACATGTACATACACCACCTCACATACATACATATCACACAGGTACATACACATACATACACCACCTGACATGTACATACACCACCTCCTATGTACATACACCACCCCACATGTACATACACCACCTCACATGTACATACACCGCCTCACATGCATCTCACATGTACATGCACCACCTCACAGGCACATACACCACCTCACATGTACATACACCACCTCACATGTACATACACCACCTCACATGCATCTCACATGTACATGCACCACCTCACATGTACGTGCACCACCTCACATGTACATACACCACCTCACATGTACATACACCACCTCACATGTACATACACCATCCTCACAGGTACATGCACCACCTCACATGTACATACACCACCTCACATGCATCTCATATGTACATACACCACCTCACATGTACATACACACACCCCTCATGTACATACACCACCTCACATGTACATACACCACCTCACATGTACATACACCACCTCACATACATAGCACACCACCTCACATGTACATACCACCACATGCATCTCACATGTACACCACCTCACATGCATCTCCACCACATGTACATACACCACCTCACATGTGCATGCACCACCTCACATGTACATACACCACCACTCATGTACATACACCACCCTACATGTACATACACCACCTCACATGTACATACACCACCACATGCATACCACCCACAGGTACATGCACCACCTGTACATACACCACCTCACATGTACATACACCACCTCACATGTACATACACACACCTCCACATACATACATACACCACCCTCACATGCATCTCACATGTACATGCACCACCTCATGTGTACATACACCACCTCACATGTACATACACCACCCTCACCTACATATTACATGCACCAACATGTACATACACCACCCCACATGTACATACACCACCTCATATGTACATACACCACCTGACATGTACATGCACCTCACATGTACATACACCACCTCACATGTACATACACCACCTCACATGTACATACACCACCTCACATGTACATACACCACCTCATGTGTACATACACCACCTGACATGTACATACACCACCTCATATGTACATACACCACCTCACATGTACATACTGACATGTGTACATACACCACCTCACATGTACATACCACCATCACATGTACATACACCACCTGTACACATGTACTCATGCATTCACCACCTGACATGTACATACACCACCTCATATGTACATACACCACCTCACATGTACATACACCACCACCACATGTACATACACCACCTCATATGTACATACACCACCTCACATGTGTATACACCACCTCACATGTACATTACACCATCTCACACATGTACATACATTCACCTGACATGTACATACACCACCTCATATGTACATACACACCTCACATGTAATATACACCATCTCACAGGTACATACACCACCCTCGACATGTACATACACACACCTGACATGTACATACACCACCTCACATGTACATACACCACCTCACATGTACATACACCACCTCACAGGTACATACACCACCTCACACATGTACATACACCACCTCATATGTACATACACCAAATCACATGTACATACACCACCTCATATGTACATACACCACCTCACATGTGTACACACACCACCTCTCACATGTACATACACCACCCACATGTACATACACCACCTGACATGTACATACACCACCTCATATGTACATACACCACCTCACATGTGCATACACCACCCCTCATGTACAAACACCACCTCACATGTGCATCCACCACCCCTCATGTAGATACACCACCCCTCATGTACATACACCACCCTCATGTGTACATACACCACCCTCACATGTACATACACCACCCCTCATGTACATACAATATGTACATACCACCTGACATGTACATGCACCACCTCACATGTACATGCACCACCTCACATGTACATACACCACATCACATGTACATACACCACCTCATATGTACATACACCACCTCATGTGTACATACACCACCTCACATGTACATACACCACCTCACATGTACATACACCACCTAACATGTAAATACACCACCTCACATGCACATACACCACCTCACATGTACATACACCACCTGACATGTACATACACCACCTGACATGTATATACACCACCTGACATGTACATACACCACCTCATGTGTACATACACCACCTCATATGTACATACACCACCTGACATGTACATACACCACCTCATATGTACATACACCACCTGACATGTACATACACCACCTCATATGTACATACACCACCTCACATGTACATACACCACCTGACATGTACATACACCACCTCATATGTACATACACCACCTCACATGTACATACACCACCTGACATGTACATACACCATCTCACCACCTCATATGTACATACACCACCTCACATGTACATACACCACCTTCACATGTACATACACCACCTCATATGTACATACACCACCTCACATGTACATACACCACCCTCACATGTACATACACCACCTCAGTACATGTACATACACCACCTCATGACATGTACATACACACCACTCCTCATGTGTACATACACCACCTGACATGTACATACACCACCTCATATGTACATACACCACCTGACATGTACATACACCACCTGACATGTACATACACCACCCTGAGTGATGTGGTGGTGAAAGGCTATACACCACCTCATGTGTACATACACCACCCTGACATGTACATACACCATATATTCACATGGCAGCGTAATCACCTCCTGACATATGTGTGTGACCACCTCATATGTACATACACCACACAGAGATGTATATACACCCACCTCATATGTGCATACACCACCTGACATGTATATATGCAGCAGTCACCTCATATGTTACATACACCACCTCATATGTACATGGTAGCACCTGACATGTACATACACCACCTGACATGTATACACCACCTCATATGTACATACACCACCTGACATGTATATACACCACCTCATATGTACATACACCACCTCATATGTACACACCACCAACTATTATATACGTACACACCTCCTCATTGTCAAGAACGTCCTTGAATTCTTCCAATACTTCAATCCAGATTGATTCTAAGATACGGTCAAAGTTGGTCTTGAGAAGGTTGTTGTTGAGAGTGAGCAGATTGCTGTCCAAATACTCAAGTAGGTCACCCACCGCCTGACAAAAAGAGAAACATAAGGCATATAAACACTGAAACACACATGTGTAGACACAGTGACCTTGACACAGGTAGACACACACAGACAGGGACATGTGTAGACACACAGACTGGGACACAGGTAGACATACAGACTGGGACATGTGTGACATCATGTGTAGACATACTGGGACATGTGTAGACACACATACTGGGACATGTGTGACACACACATACACATGGGACATGTGTGAGACACACAGACTGGGACTATGTGTGTGGACACACAGACTGGGACATGTGTAGACACACAGACTGGGACACAGGTAGACACACAGACTGGGACACAGGTAGACACACAGACTGGGACATGTGTAGACACACAGACTGGGACACAGGCAGACACACAGACTGGGACATGTGTAGACACACAGACTGGGACATGTGCAGACACACAGACTGGGATATATGTAGACATAGACTGGGACATCTGTAGACACAGAAACTGGGACATGTGTTGACACACGACTTGGAGACTGAGCTCAACACTGTTTCCATCTCTCCTTAGGAAAGTGGCAAGCAGATAAAGATCAGACATCAGATGGCACATGAAGACACTCAGACGACACAAATTCAGCTCACATCATCAGCAGGGAGAGAATCTGGAGCCCAGTTCAGGTGGAACACATCCTTCTTGATGTCAGGACGCATCTATTAACCAAAAAATGATTCACTATACACATCAACGACGTATCACAAGTGAGTGAGTGAGTGAGTGAGTGAGTGAGTGTGTGTGTGTGAGTGAGTGAGTGAGTGAGTGAGGTGAGTGAGTGTGTGAGTGTGAGTGTGTGTGTGTGTGTGTG